ATCACTAGTCTGCATTTTAGCACAAATGGAAACGTCTCGCGTGAAACCGTTCGTATACTCAAGGAAATAATTGCACGTCTATCTATCTATCTATCTATCTATCTATCTATCTATCTATCTATCTATCTATCTGTCTATAAAAACCCATTAATTTTATTCTTGCTTTCGCTTCTATGATCTTATTTTCTATTTCTTTCCTTCGTTACACATGGTTTTTGAAGCCATCGCCCTATGTTCTGTGATCTATTGATTAGATATTTAATTGTCCAGATAATTATTCTCCCTCAGTTCCATTTTCTAGCCAACCCTAACTTCAACCTCCGCTTTTTTTTCCTTCTGAAAGAGCATGTCGTAAGGAGTCTTGTGGTTACGTTTCCGGTCTCGTAATGGCGACATAGTTGTGGTTTATAAGACACAAGCTGAATATCCCATGGACAGCTAGAAAAACAAAATAAGAAGAAATCTTGGTTGAAGCAAATTGCTTATGAAGAATAATACGAAAGCGACAGGCAAAGTTCATTGGACACACAATGCGGAAAGAAGTATTGGAGAATATTGTAACAACCGACAAGTTTGATTGAAAGAGAGGCAGAGGCAGATCGAGGGAAGAGATGCTGGACAGGTTAAAAACATGGCTGGGTACAGCAAGAACAACAGACACCATCGCTGCAACGAAAGACAGGGTGAAGTGGAAGTCCATGATCGCCCACGCCTGTCGGCAAGGGACCGGGTGATGATGATAAATGGGAAGATTGTGGTTTGGGAGGTTGGGGGGTGGGGGGGTTGTGGCTCGGTTCGAATATAGTGTCCCTGTGAGAGCTAATGTCCACGAACCTTAGCATTTATTGTCTCCAGCTAGTCGGAGGGACGTTAAATGAGGATGTCCAGCTTCTTAAATAGCCTAACGCCGTCGCTAAGGGCGATAACCCAAAACTATTTAGCGCATCTGTTTTTCTTTTGAAATATAAAAAAGTCGACCAAAGAACTACACACAAAATAACGATCAAAACATAAAAGAAAAAGAAAGGGTAAATCCTGCCACGTTGACCGAAGCCAGGCCACCTATTTAGACTCAACAAAGACGGGCACTGGCGCACAATTTGAAGGATCACTTGAAGTGGAAAGAGCAGGGCCCGTCTCTGTGTCGCCACATAGGACCCCCGAGACTTCCTGTAATCTCTGTCTGAACTCCGCCTCTTGAATCAAGAACCACGGCATTAGCTTTTTTCTAAGAGAGGCCTGCCATTATTGTTATTATTTCTGCAGAAAAAACAGTGTTTATGATACTGACGTCCTTACTTTCTTTCCTTAAAGATCTGTGAATTTTATAATATTGTTCTAACTGCATTTAAGGTTGATGTTCTGTAGTAAGGGATTGGGGGTTAAAAGAAAAGAAAACAGTGTTGCTTAAGTCAAGGGTGAACTGGGGAGGTTTGCAAGACAAAAGATCAAAAATATCCCGAAGGAAATTCTGATTTTAAGACAAAAGTAAAACGTGCGAGCAAGCGAAAGAGAGAGAGAGAGAGAGAGAGAGAGAGAGAGAGAGAGAGAGAGAGAGAGAGGCTGGAAAGAGAGAGAATGAGCTTGGAGAGAGAGAGAGAAAGAGAGAGACAACAGAGACAGAGACACAGCAACAAAAACAGAGAGATGCACAAACTAGAAAAAAAAAAGATTTAGTTAGGCAGTGAGACAGACAGACAGGCAGACAGGCAGACAGACAGACAGACAGACAGACAGACAGACAGACAGACAGACAGACAGACAG